TTTTCTTTACCCCATTTATACTCACTCAGAAGTCCAAAGGAACTTACTTGTATATCGCATATCCTGGAGTTTCCAAAAACTCTGGTGTCATAAGAACTAGATTTGATCCTGGGCTCTAACCCAAAGAGGGTTAATTCTTTTCCCTTTGGTTTATTGCCTCTAATTGAAATTTCTCTAGGAAAATATCCTGATTCACTCAGGGCAAATGTTTCCCCAAATGTGGTTAAAAGTTTCCCAGTTATCATAAAGCACTCAAGGTACTAAATGCATACCAGGCACAGGAGAGTCTTTATTTTACCCTGCAAAAAATGCAGAAAATGCAAAGGAGTCACAGGTGCCCATAAACAGATAGATGCAGAAAACACATGTAACCCCAGATTCAATAACCTATCCCATAGAGACTATGTATTCTGTTATTATATCTTTAAGAGGGAATGGAATCTTGGGGAGTTACAGCTTAGCTGTCATCTGTGAGGAGTCTGTGAAAAGACTGAGAGTTTAACTGTCATTTGGGAGACTGTTAACTCTCGTGGATGGAGAGACTTTTTGAGTACCAAGATAAAGGACAAAGAATCCTGAGATTGTGTGAGGTGCTCAGAGAAAGGACCAATGGAACTTTTTTCTTATGAGTCTGAGTGAATTAACTCTTGCAAAAAAAATCATTTTAAGAGAATTCTTGAGAAGAGACTTTAAATAACATCCTGATAGAGTTGAATTGTTGGACTATGGTCTGTGGAGAAGTTAACAATTGTGGTTGATTGTTAGAGGTGATTCTTTGATCTTTCTCAGTGTTGTTGTTCAAAGTTTGTTGTTGGTTGTTTCTCAGTATTGTTGAAAGATTTAAATGCATTGTTTGTTGTAACAATTGTTTGTTATTGTTAATAAATTGCATAGCCAGTAACATTTATGTTCATTTAAGCCTATGAGACTAAGTTAGAGAGAAAGAGACAGAGACAGACAGAGATAGAAAGGAGGGAGAGAGACACACAGAGAAAGATTGTGATTTTCTATTAATTATTGGTTGCCTTGTAACCTGGAAGGAAAATTAATGAGTTAAAGAGTCAAGGGTATATTTTTCTGTGATTGTTGCCTAACATAACACATATAATATAACCCCCTAACCCATTATTCCACATTTAAGCTAAAAATGATGTCGTGATCTGTCGCACAAACATACATGTAAGGATAGTTACTGAGCCTGTGATCTCACCATCTGAGGGAACTCCAAGGTGAGGAACTCCCCTTATAAATCTTTCTAGCATCTTCTCTGAGATTTTTAGGTCATAGAAAGCTGCCTCATGCACAGAGGGGATAAGTGATTTGCCCAGTGTCACACAGCCAGTATGTATCAGAGGTGATGCTTGAACTGAGATCTTCATGAGTCCCAAGTTGGCTCTCTGTCCCCAATGCCAATCTGACTCTTGGCTATATAAAAGCACTCAGATAAACATCAATTCTCCTTGATAATTTGGTGAAATCCTTCTCTCCCACAAGATCATACATAAACTGTCCTTTCCAGACTTAGTGTCACTTTGTGGTTTATCCTTCCCTTGGAAAGTAGATATAGTTTTAGGGGCTGCTGACCAAGAAAGCCCCTTCCCATTGAACTTTCATTGAATATTTATTCATTGAATAACTCAGTGACTTTATTCTCTAAGGAAGGGAGCTGTGCAGAAACCCTGTAAACTACACTTTTCTTTCTCCAAGGGCACACTGTTTCAGGAAACATGCTTTTTCTAGAGGATGAGCCTCTGGACTTTCAAACTTGGAAATTCTTGCCTTGAAACAACTCTGAACATTGGTTCAGAAAATCTTCTTTCTCTGACTTGAAGGCCAGATATTAGAATTATGCTTCTTGGGGAGTTCAAAATCTCCCTCCTCCACTCAAGAGTTGGGGGTCCATAAATATTTCCCAAGAACTACCCTGCGAATGAAGGAAGTGTGTATACATCTGTCTCTGATATGTGCTTCTGCAGAAACTCTTGATTTGTCCCAGTTTCTACCACATCTTGGGCTGGAGAAGTTCCCTATCAGGTCTCTGACCTCTGAAAAAGGTCAGAAAAATTCTTGTTCTCAGAAAAAAAAACAGGAAGGCAGAAGGAAGCTGGGAAATTGAGATCCAGGATCTACTTGGGGAAGCAGATACTGCAGCTCATTATGTGCTTCTGATTGGAGTAGCTCTTTATCTAAGTTCCTGTGGAGGGATGGGAAGGGGAAAATGTCCCCCCTCCCTCCTTGTGGTATTGCAGAACAGAATATATAAGGGTGTACCCCATTTATACTATAGCAAAGTTGAAGGTCATAAGAGGGCAAATAAAAAGAGACCCTTCAAGCATTTTTACCTTGTAAGTATTTGATGCTTGAGGCCTATTCACTGAGTGGGTGTTGCCTCACTCAAAGTGAGAACCTGAAAAGATCTTGGCTTAAAAGAGCCAGGGTCTCCCATTGCATCCTGAGCTATCTCCAGTTGTCCTGATGAATATCTGGTCACTGGACCCAGATGGCTCTGGAGGAGAAAGTGAGGCTGGTGACCTTGCACAGCCCTCCCTCTCTCAAAACAAAGTCAATTGCAAGTCATGTCATCTCCCTGATGTCATGGTCCTCTTTGAGAATGAAGGACACAACAACAACAACAACAACATAAGCTCAATTACATAAGAAAACATCGGTAGAGATGATGAACTTGCTCCCTGGACACAACCTACCTCATCTCTTTTTCCACCAACAACTTATTTGCACAGTACAATAAAAATTTTGGAAATGCGGAAAATAGTCACCATAAGTGAGGATGAGGGCCCTCACTAAGGGAACCCAATCTAAATCTTGAAGAATTGTCAAATCAGAGAGTCTACATCTCCCTCACCACTTTCCTGGGGGATGACAAATCTCAGATTTGAGGCTCTGACGGAGTAGAACTAGTGAAGCTTCTGCTAGGCTAAGAACCTCTGCCCTTTCTGAAGATCGAAGAAGCACTCCATTAAAATTAGCACAGCTCTTCAGCTAAACAGTCTAGTAATACCCCTGCTAAACCCGTAGCTTGAGCTAGTGGATCCTACAGCTGCCCGTCAGAGAGTTAGCTCAGGGAGTTAGTGAACTAACCCATCTGGACTAGACACTGCCTTCTGTGAGAAGCCAGCCTAATCCATCCTGACAACATGCATGCCCTGTGAGGAGCCAGTCCCATCAGTGAGTGACTCTTCCTGGCAGAGGATCTAGGAGAGATGCTGGGCCCTGTGAAAAGCCTAGTTAAGCCAGTGGTCCAAGTAAGATGCTATGACTGACTGGAAGTCAGTCCAGAGAAGGAGCAGAATGACTCACTTATCAGTTAAGCCACACCCTAAAGTGAACTTTGGGAGGATTTTCTCAAGAGAGAAAAGATGCTGAGATCCTGTAGTTCTGGGGTTGTGAGTTGCCTTGGTCACTTGTGTTTCCTATGCATTGCCTGACTATCATTGTAGTTAACTCACTTGAGTTTATGTCCTCTACTCCCCTCCTTCATCATGGATTCTTCAAGGATTTGTGTAAGAATATACCCCAGGCTTGTGGAGGGGGGTGGTGTGGAGAAGACAGTGCTTTGTAACTACCTAGATCATTCGAGTAAATGTCTTTTCTCTAGAGCTAATAGTAGAATTTTAATGGGAAGTACACCAGTGTGGGATTGGTCTATGAGCTATAGTGTTAGGGACAGTCATCCACAACCAGAGTTCATAGGTACCTCTCTAGGGACCAAATCTGTCAGTGCTAGTATGACTTGGGGAACTGAAGGGGTACTATAGGAACAAGAATATAGGGAGAAGAGGAACAAGAAAAAACAAGAAAACTTGTCTCATAGCTCTTTTTTTTTAATAAATCATGAGGTGGGACTGTTCCTCTGATAAGAGACTGTTCCTCTTGGTCTCAGCCAACCAATCAACTTGAGTTCCCTATATTCTCTTAGCAAAGTACCAGTAGACGTGCCCATATTTCCTAAGGAGATGGCCTTTAGTTGCTTCCAAAAGCCCTAGCTGTATAAGCTAATCAAGTTGATGGAGGAAGCTTCTCATTAACTCCTGTGGATTCAATGATCATTTCCATGTTGATGATTCCCAGAGCTATTTATCCAGCCCTGATTTCTCTCCTAAACTTCAGTCTCACATCTCCAACTGCCTACTGATATCTCAAACTGCATGTCCCATTGGCATCTTAAATTTAACATATCCCAAACTGAATTTATTCTCTCTCCCCACCCAAACACTTCCTGTTTCCTAATTCCTTTTTTCTTTCAAGGGAAACACCTTCCTCTCAGTCATCCAGACTGGTAAGCTAGACTCATTCTTGGTTCCTTACTCCCTCTCATCCTTGTCCCTATGCCTATATACAATATGTTGCCACCTCCTGTCGCTTCCACCTTCACAACATTTCAAGTATATGCCCCTTCTCTCCTCCGACACTGCCATAACCTTGGTACAAAGCCATTGTCAACTCATACTTGGACTATTGCAATAGCCTGAATCAGTGTCCCTAGCCTCAAGTCTCTCCCTACTTCAAACCATCTTCCAGTCAGCTATCAAAAGTGATCTTGCTTAAGATCATGTTCGATCATCCCCCTCCCCATTCAATAAACTCCAGGGGCTCCCTATCACTCCAGGATTACATATAAAATTCTGTTTGTCTTTTTAAACCCTTCATAACCTAGACTCCTCCTACCCTTCCAGGGTTCTTACTTCTTACTCCCTTCCATGTACTCTTTGATTCAGTGACACTGGTCTCCTTAATGTCTTAAACAAGATACTCCATCTCTGGACTCCATGCATTTTTTTAAAAAAATTTATTTATTTCATTTTTAATGTATGGAAGAAAACAAGTATTTCCGTAACGTAGTATAATAAAAAAGTATTCATCTCAACATCACTTCTTATAACACTCTTAATATTCCATTACTTTCATGTACCACAATTTGTTTTGCCATTCCCCAATCAATGGACATCTATTTTGTTTCCAATTCTTTGCTGTAACAAAAAATGTTACTATAAATATTTTGGTTTATATGAGGGCTTTCTTCTTATTGATGGATTTTTTTGGAGTTTAAGCCCAGTGATGGACTCTGTGCATTTTCACTGACTGACCTTCATGCCTGGAAAGCTTTCCCTTCTCATCTCTGCCTCCTGTCTTCCTTGACTTCCTTCAAGCCTCAGCTAAAATCTTTCCCCAGATTCCCCTTCACAATGAGAATGCCACATCACTATAATTACATATACTTTATTCTGCATATATTTCATTTGTACATAGTTGTTTTCATGTTTTCTCCTCCATTCAACTACAAACTCCTGGAGAGCAGTTTTTAACCTTTCTTTGTATTCTCAGTGCTTGAAGTAGTTCTTACACATAGCAAGTGCTTATAAATGCTTGTTGACTTGGCTTGTTTACTTAATTTTTCCTGTGTGGATGGGTAGCTCAACTGCCCCCCCCCCTTTAAATCTCCATTCAAGTCATTTCTTGATATATGTCCCTCCACATCCACTGTTGTATGCATCTTGCTAGTAAATTGAACTATATCTCTCACTGTAAGGTGCCTTCTAGCTTTTGGAGTCTAGGATTCTGCTACCAGAAACTCACTGAGGTAGTAAGGGACCCAGATCTAGGGATCTCCCTAGGGGAATAAAGAATGTAATACTTTCACTTGAAGAACTAAGGATTAAAGAGTGAAGCAGGGGAGCAAGGGACCTACGGATGATCCCAGGGGACCACATGATCCAGAATCTTCCTTAAGAAGTAGAGGACCCAGGGTTGTTCTCAGCTAGGAATGTTCAGTTTAGGAATAAACCACACTCTAACATTTTGATCCAGGTGAGACCAGGTTATGATGAGCATAAGAGAAGCCTTGGAGAGAATCACAGATTCATAGCATTTCACACTGGAGTGACTTTAGAGATCAGATGAGATCTGAGCTTCTTTTAGAATCATTCAAAGAAACTACCCTTGTCTACTATTGGCATTCCTTTTGTGAGGTGCAATAGCAACATGAAGCTCTGAGGAATGGCTTGGCTTTCTGTACCCCTCATCTGGGTTCCAGTGTCTATCTTCTTTTCAATCCTTTGCTGAAACATTACCATCATATTTTAGCATGGTTCAAAATGAACCAGTTTTAACTGCTTTAAATGTGAAAGTTGGAAATGTAAGGTCTGAGCATTTAAACATAATAGGCCCTTAGAGATCAACAAGTCCATACTCTTGACCCCAAACTCTAATTTTGAAAGAGGAAACTGATGTCTACAGAGAGGAAGTGACTGTCCTAAGGTCACACAGGGAGTAAGTACCTAGGGTTTGGATTTGAACCTAGGTCCAAAATTCCTACCAGTAAGAATTTTGCTTTTAATGATGTTTTCAATTAATCTATAGATGAAATTTTAGTGTTGCATTGGAGAACTCCAGCTTTACTCTCTTAATATAACTTCCTCTCAGATACTCAAGCATTCAAACTATGGTAAATGTTTTGTCATTATTACATGTGTGAATATGCAAAAGATCTATAATTTTTGTGCGTACAGGTAACTCCTTGACTGGGAACTTCCTCCATCAACAGATTATGACCTGTCCATGACTTAGCAGATTTATTATGGAGTTGATTGAGGCACATAGAGGTTAATTAATTTGCCAGGGTCACACAGATAGCAAGTCTCAGAGGTGGGATTTGAACTCGTCTTCCTGACTTTAAGCCCAGTATACTATCCAATAAACCTCAATATATCCAATATAGCTCAAAGAAAAACAAAAGCAAACAAAACCTCACTGTTCCACAATTGGGATATGTTTTAAATATGTTTTTTAATTACTTTTCCTTTTGTCTTAGAAAGAATATGAAAACTGCATGCAACTCTAATTTTTTCAGACATTTAAATAGCATATGATAACTTCATGATGTAATACATGATACTGGAAGAACATGATACACAGTTTGCCTAGAGTATATTTACAGAGGGAAAGGTAGTTTTGTTACTTTATTTTAAAAAAAGAGAGAACCATACTATTAACCATGGAAGCATTACATTCACAATGACAGAGATTGTGTGTATATTTTTGGTGGAGGGGGTCACATTCTTTGTATGTATATGTATTTGTGTGCCTGTGCTCATGAGCATATATATATATATTATATATATATGTATATAACGTTTCCTTGAAGGATTTTTACTAAAAAAGCAAGCAAACCTATTGTTCTTGAAGTATAAAGTACTTGAGATCGGAGCAGTGTACCTTTCATATCACCTCATGATGGAAGAAGAATCCAGCATCCTCCTTAGATATGAATTTAGTTTGGGATTATTCCCCACTTTAATATACGTAAAAATTAACTGGGGGTATTAAGCACATTTCCCTGGCAATCAGCTTTTATTTCAGCAAAGAACATATGCAAGAATGATGCTCATTCAGTTCTGCCAGCTGTGTGGGCCCATATTGCACAGACACACAACACATTATTATGGCAGGGCACTTTGTAAGCTGTGTGCCTTCTCCCCTCTGTGGAAAGTCACTATGAAATCAGAAGTGGAAATCTTCCTAGGGCTACAAATAACAGAGCACTACTATGGAATACCACCACATAGATTATTTGTTCAGCTAATGAGCTTATAAAGCTCAGTTGCAATCATGGTGATGGATGAATGAATACAAAAAAACATTTTTAAAACATGAAAGGCATGGATTTTCCCAAATTCAGTAAAAAGCAGACAATTGTGAGCTATGAAATGCAAGAGACAGTTACGACACTCGGAAGCCTTTTGCAAATAGCTATAAAATGTAAAAACTGACCCTTGGTAAAAAGTGCTTTTTGTAACAATATATAATTTGTGTCTTATGTCTGTGAGAAAGAAAGGTTTTTCTGCAGAGTCCTTTGTTCAAGTCTTCCAAAAACTTTTTCATTAGGATTTTCTTGTCTTATTCTTCATAGACTCTGGAAAGGAAAAACAGGTATTGGTCTCTCAATGCACTGATTTTGACCATTAGATGGAGTATGGCAAAGCCCCATGAGTCCTCAAGGGGTGGTTTCTATTACAGGACAGTGACAGATGCAGTTTCAGGAGTGGGTTCTTTCTCTTATTTCTAGTGTTCAAGTAGCCTAGTCTTCTTGCTAATGCATGAGGTATGGCTGTAAGGGATTGCTGTTTTAACAAACATGCTAGAACTTTGATCTGAAAGGGACCTTTGAAGCCTAAGTATCTAGCATAGTCTTAGCACAAGTAGGCACTTAATAAATGCTTGCTAGATGATCGATTAATTAGTTAGCCTTATAGGTTATCCAGTCCAACTGCCCCCACCTCCCATTTTACAGAACAGGAAGCTGAGGTCTAAATCAATGCTGTCCTTTTCAAAGTAGTTCCCTTGAGAACCTAGACACATATTTTAATGGTGCTGCAGCAAACTGCTCAGGCTCAACGCTCAAACAGCCATCATACCTGGTGACACTTTTTTTTTGAATTGCATTAATAGGGTAAATCTTCCTCCTTTGAGAGTAAATTGGATTATTGGAAGGAGACAAGTTGCATGAATAAGATGTGTGAGGAACCTAGGATCATGGTTTGAATCACAAATGAGGTGGGTCTAGCTCCATTATTAAGGCAGTGCAATTGGGGTTGTGCCCCAGGACCTCACAATATAAAGGGAGTAAAATTTTAACACATGCATTGTTTTAGAAACTACTGAATTTAACATCTAGTTAGCAAGAATAATTCATTCAAATAGGAGCTCCCATAACAGGTAGGCATTTTAGTAATGACCATCTGTGAGGCCACTATATTAACTATCTTCTCCCACTCAACTGAATTTATCTTAATTACTGTTTGATTCTGGAATTCTGCTTGCTCAGAATTGCTCTCAGGATCAGAATCGCTAGTTATAGCTGTTAGTGGGCCTACATAGAAGCCCATATGGTATGAAGACAATAAATAGGCTCTAGAGGCCAGATTCCAAACGGGATTTAGTATGTGCATAATACCACAGTGATAATACCACATGAATAAGACTACAGTCTTCCATGGAGATGGCTCTGAAGATGACAGCACTCATGTGGAGGGCTGGGTTCTGGTCTGTTTGTTAGAGATTCAGTCATATGATTTCAGAGTCAGATCTCAAGATGGGACTTCTTCCATAGCCCTAAATAATTGTCGCAATGGAGGCAAAATGAAATGTAGAATTTACAGAAACCCCAGAATTGCTAGTGGTGTAGAAGGGTATCACCTATAGGGATGGAGAAGAAAAGTGCTCTCATCCCTGAGAGTTCTTCTGAAAAAAACAGAACAAAACAAAAAACAAAAAACAAAAAACAAAAAGCTACAACTTTTAGAAATTGGTAAAAAATTATAACGAAGTGGGTTTGATGGCAAGAAAATATGTAAGTAAGAAAATAATTTTAATATTCAAATCATTTGTCTGGAAAGCTTTGTTGTTCTATCTTGGAATATTTTGAAAAATCTGACTGCCTTTTCCTTCTAATGAAGTGTCCTGCTTAATGGAGAGAGAGAGAGAGAGAGAGAGAGAGACTGAGAGAAAATAGAGAGGAGAGAGAGAAGATACAGCAAATACTCTTTGGTAGTATTTTGGAAGTTCTAGGTTTCAGTTGTTTTTCTTTATGGAGGAAGGAAAAAAAAACCCCAACATTTATTAAGCATCTATTATGTGCTAGTCACTATGCTAAACACTTTCACAACTATTATCTCATTTGATCCTCTCTACCACACTGAGAGATGCCCGTTATATTATTCTCATTTTGCAGTAGAGGAAACTGACAAAGAGGTTAAGTGAACTTATCAAGGGTCATGCAGCTAGTAAGTATCTGAGCCTGGATTTGAACTCAGGTCTTCCTGACCATACATTCATGTCTCTGTTTCCTCAAAACTATGTATGTATGTGTATACATACAAATCTCTATTTATAACATATGTATATGCATGTATACAATATACATATATACAGGTGTACATATACACATATCTGCATTTATATGTGTGCATATACCACACATATGTACACATGTATTTACATGTATACACACAATTCCTATCCTTATCGACCTGCTCATAGGATCACGTGATTGCATTGATTATATACTTAAAGCTGGAAAGAATCATAGTCCAACTCTCCCATTTTATGGCTGAGGAAACTGAGGTCCAAAGAGGTTATAGGAGACTTGCCCATGGTTACACAGGCAATAAGTGGCAGGATTGAGATTTGAACCAAGGCCCTCTGACTTTGAGTCCAATAGCCATTCAATGGTACAACATTGTATAAAGAAAATGACTAATTGCTTTAAATATTGAATTCTTATCTTGGTGAATAGCTATTAAGTTCTACTTTAATGTATTAATTTTTTAAGGATTCTTGGTCATCAGCCAATCAGTAGTTCTTGAATATTTCTGTGTGCCTGCCACAGGGCTAGGAGCACCATCTTCTTCTCCTTTTACTCTTTTGGTCCCAGTTGACATATCACAAGATTAGAGGTAGCACAATGCTGTGCAGAAGGTCCTAAACTGAAGGTTGACAAACCTGGGTTCTAATTCCTTCTGTCAACTAGCTTCCTCATTTATAAAATAAGAGACTCAAATGAATGGTCTGCACACCGGAGGTAATTTAACAAATGAATTGAATTGAATTAATGAGATCTTTGAGAGCCTGCATGGTCTAGTTGGCCATCAGAATCAGAAAGACCTGAGTTCAAGTAATATATTCTGATAAATACTGGTTGTGTGATCTTGGGTGAATCACTGCACCTCTCAATTTCCCCAGGTGACCTTCTCACTCTCTAAGTTGCTGCCATGCATGGAGAGTTTCCTCACCAAAAGTTACCTTCATCAATGATATCACAAGTCTGGGTTACCCTCCCTTCCCCTAATGAAATCTTTGGCCTAGATGATTTAGGGAGGGAGGAAAATGAGGGGAACCTTTATTGAGGGCTTCAAAAGCAATACAGGTGACAAAGAGGCTGCGCTTTTTTATTTTGGATGTGAGAATTGAGAGGAGTACAAACCACTTTCAAGACTTTTACTGGCCTAGGTAAGGAAAAGCTCAGAAAAGAAAGCTTTATTCCCATCAGCTTTCCAGAAAATAAAGTCTTACTGTCATTATTTTCTATTTTGAGCTAATGCAGACGGGGCAGTTTTTAGGGAGAATTAAGTAGGCCCAGGTATTGGCACCGTGCTCAAGGCTCTGTCTTTGTGAATGACCTTCTGTGTATAATGGGAGTACTTGGGCAGTCAATCCCTTAGAATTTGTTCTGAGGAATAAGCCTCAGGCCTCTGGACCCCTATTGCAGGTGGGGGCATAGTTGAGCATCTAATATTCCACTGGGGCAGTTTCATGCAGGTGGCCGAGTATAAACGGCTCCAATGTGCAAAGGAACATTTGTTCCACATATGTCTAGCACACCCCCTTCTTCCCTCTTTTCTGCTTCTCAGCTCCGGACTGGTCTCTGCCATAGATGAAGCAGACGCATGTGGGATGGCTTGTGGTTAAGTGCTGGAAAGGCACTTAACCCTTCTGTCTTAGTTTCCTCATTTGCAAAATGGGAATACTAATACTTGTTACATATACTTCACAGGGTTGCTGTGAGTCTCAAATGGAGCAATGTATATAAAGTTCTATGTAATCCTTAAAGTGCTACATACATGTCAGTTACCTACTACCACCATGAACAACAGCATTATTGTCACTTCTCCTGATTTCCAAAATTCCAGCTTTACAGATCACAGAATAATGGATTGTCAGAATTAGAAGGAATCTACTATCTACTGAGTAAAGTTCAAATACTTTCCCCTGGCATTGAAGGTTCTCTGTTACCTAGCATCACCTAATCTTTTCAGTCTTATTTCATATTATTCTTATCTACACACTTTCTGCTCCAGTCCAACTGGATCGCTGTCTTCATTTTCCAGCCTCTGTGCACTTGTTCATTCTGTTTCTTATACCTGAATGTCCTGTTCCTTTTTTGTCTGTTGAATACTACTTCAGACCTGAATTAAGTCACTTAACTGCTATGAATCTCAGTTTTCTCATCAATAAATGGGGGAAAGCATAGCTCACACCTCTCAGAGTTGCTGTGGGGATCAAATGTAATAATGTATTTAAAATACATTGCTGAGGCTAAAGTACTCTATAAATTCAAGCAATTGTTATTTCCTACGAATCACTTAAAGACCAACTCAGATGCTGCCTCCTCTAGTGAAGACCTTTCTCTAGTGAAGGTTTTACATAGCGCTTTGTCCTGCAACTTTCTAATGCACTTATGTAGGTAATTTTACTTTTTGAGTCTTATTCTACTAGCCTGTGACCTCCAGGAAAGCAGACTCCATTTAATTTAAATTTTATATCTTTCCAGAATCTAGCCTAGTTCGTGTTTAAAAAAATTCTACTGAGTGAATGAATCATCTAGTCCAATTCCCTTATTTTACAGAAGTGAAAACTGAGGCCAAGATTCACCCAGGATCTCTGAGCTCTTTAAATGCAAAACTACTCTTTCCCCTACACAGGGCTCCTACTTGAAACTCACCTGCGTTTCTCATTCCACGCATTGTACCACTTGATGAATCTCTTTGTGCTCTGGAGTTTGGGATGTAGGCAATGTTCTTGTCCTCGGTACCGTGACATGCTCTTGGTAGTGATGCTGAAATAGAGTTTGGAAAAGCAGCCTGTGTGAGAGGTTTACTCCTTTCCACTCCCCCTCAGCACCTGCCTGAGGCGGGTGAGGTCAGCCTCTGGGGAATGCTGCATAATGAGAGTTCATTCATTAGAATGTGTGAGCCGGCTACCAGCTATTGTCCTGCTTTTAGTGGAGCAGGAGAGGAAATAGGCAAAGCTTTGCAGTGGGCAGGAGGCAGGCAGGCAGTCAGGCAGGCAGGCAGGGTAGATCCAAGCTCTCCCTTCTAGTACAGTGACGGGCATTGTGAGAACAGCAAATACATGTGGAGGGGAAAGTTCGGCTCTGCATCTCTGAGACTTTAAAAAGTTTCAGTGAAGTCTGAAATTGTTCTGTGAGCCATTTTGACTGTAGAATTTTTATTTCACCTTGCAGAGAGTATATAGTAGATGAACTTTTTAATGTGGAATAGTCTATTACTGGATGAACTGGCTTTCTGAAGAGCTTTGTGGCAGCAAGGGTTCAGCTATAACTTGTAAACTTTACAAGTCTCAGTAGAATCAGCCTGTAATGTAAGCAAGCCCTGAACCTGATTGGAGGACTTTTCTCCCCCATTTCCTTTATGCTTTCCTCTCCAGAAGCCTTTTGCTTGTGGCAAGTCCATAAATGTGAATATACTATTTTGCAGGAAAGTCTTCAGCCAAAATAGTGGAAAGGACCTAATAGACCATCTAGTCCAAGATGACTCCTTGTGGTCTTCTCCCTCATACTCTCTACCTAACCCCATTCTGAACTCCTATCCTCATTCTTTTCCTCTTAACCTCTACAATGCCTTACTTGGTACCCTAGTGAAAGGCTTAGGGAAGCCATAAAAGCTAAGTAATGCTGAGGCTGGGTGGGAATTTTTGCAGGACCCCAGATTATTCATCTCTAACTGGACGAGGTTTGACCAGTCACCCAGTAAAGCTGTAACATTCCATGGTTCTAGGTCCTAAGGGGAATCTCTGTCCTTGGCAGTGATAAGCCGCAAAGAGCTGGCCATACACAGGTGGGATGAACTTCAAGGAAATCCAGTAGTGTTTATGAAAATTCAGTCTGGTAGAAGAGAAAGGACTGAGAAATTATGCACATTAAAAATGACTTTTTGCTCCTCCAGAAGGTTCCTACTGAGAACCCTAGGGTTCATTAAGCAAGGAGCACCCTGAAATATTTAAGATAGGGCTCAATTTATAGAAATCAATTTGACCATATTTTTTCAGTGCTGACTCTTTTGCTGAAATGGAGAAATGTCTGCATTAGGAGGTATCAATGCAGCAGAAATCATTAGCTTCATAAAATAAGTCCTATGGGCTATCTTGCCCAAGATTCTGCTTCAGCTGGGGGCCCTGAAGGGAGGTTCCTTCAAATGTTGGATTTGTGACCAGGGTCCAAAACACCAATGTCTAGAATTGTGGTGATAACTGCTTTAGACTTTTGTATTTGAAGCTCAGATCTTCCAAACTGTATTCTCTGAGAAGTTCTTGGAGTTTATATTTGGCCTAGTGTCAGCAGTGACATTCTACAGTGTTTGAGGATAAGCAGAGGTGACATATTTGATTACATTTCAAACTCTCCACCTGCTAACAGAGAAGAAGGAGCAGTTGTTTCAAAGTGATCATCGCTTCCTCCTGGGAAGAGGCATTCAGTTAGTTCTGTCTGACTTCTGAGGAGCTTTAACAGGATTATAGATTTAGATCTAAAAAGGATCTTAGAGGCCATTAGGTCTAACTTCTTCCTTTTACAGCTGAGGAAACTGAGGCTAAAAGTGACTAAGTTTCCTGCCCAAGGTCAGATAGAAAAAAAGTATCTGAGACAGGATTTTACTGAAGTTGTCCAGACTCCAAGCTTAGCCTTCTATCCATTGTGCTGCATAGCTAACACAGGCTTAGGGGGTCCATACCAAGTCTGGAGGTTTGGACTGGCACTGCAACTTGTACACCTACTCGTTAAGTGGCCTTACTTTACTTCAGTTTCTGCATCAGTAAAATAGGGATAAAATTAGCGACTATAATATCTATCTTACTAGGTTTTCATTTACTAGGATAAAATTATACACACATGTATATACATACATATAGGAATACACATATACATATACACATGTATATACACATGTTTTGGTAGACATATAAGTGCATATGCATGTATATGTATAGGCGTAACTATGTAGGTATATACATAGATACCTATATGTATATGATATATATGTATGTGCATATTATATGTTTAATATAAGAGGTAGCAAATCTATCTATAGTGGATAGAAAGCTGGCCTGGGAGCCAGGAAGACTTGTGTCCAAGTACCACCTCAGAAACATACTATCTGTGTGACCCTGGGCAAGTTACTGAAATTCTCAGTGCTCTAAATATCTCTCTAAGACAATGGATTGCTGAGAAGGTGCCAACCTATGTTTGTAGAAAGAGTTTGCTCATATCAGTGAAATGACAGGTCTAGGCACTATCCTGATTTTATATATACACACATATATGCAAATGTGTATGCAGACATGCATGCATGCATGCTTTGTAGACTGTAAAGCATGATAAAAATGTCAGCTGTGATTATTTTTCTTAATATTTCAATAGATTATAAACATGAGGCATTGCTTTTTCTATATTCACATTATCACCCTGTACTAAAGTTATATTTTGCCATCTAAGACTGGGTGTTCTAAAAGCCAATGCAAAGGTCATACAGTAAATGAGTGTATTTCCCAGAATGTTTTACATGGAATGAAATTTGTTTTGGTGGATTCTGGGAGTGTTCTCTGGCAGGGAAACTCAATTCTAGTGCCTAAGCTCCTTGAGGACAGGGATTGTTTTTTTTTTTTTGTCTTTGTATTCCCAGTATCTAGGACAGTATTTGGTATTTAGTACAAATCTGATGTATGATTGTTTAATTCGATTAAAATGAAAAAGATTTCAGCAGTTAGAAAACCGTCCCTTGTTCTTATTCGGAATTCATGCATTATTCTTTGGGTTGGCTATGTCCAATGTGCAGGGAGCTCAAAGATTATCTGCCTTAGGCCGGGGTTAGTGGGAGGAAATGAGCAACAGATAGAGATCATAGGCTTATATGATGATGACAGAGCTAGACAAGACCTTAGATATCATCCACTCCAACTCCCTAATTTTACAGACGAGAAGATTGAGGTCTAGAGAAGTAGAGTGACTTTCTCTAAGTTACCAAGTTAGCATACAGCAGAGCTAGGATTTGAATCCATGTTCTCTGACTCAAATGTGGTGCTCCTTTTATTATACCATAGAGATAATTTTTTGTCTATACTTGCAGAGCCTCAGCCCCAAGTTGTTGCCTAAACTAATTCCCACTGACCTGGGAACTCATCTGAATGAATTAGGATCCTGAAACACAAAATAAGGTGTTCTAAGATCTCAACCATTCCAACGTAGTGGTAGGGAAATAAGAATTAGACACACTGCCACAGGCTCTCTGCCTTCACGTCAATCAATTAAATATTTATTGAACATCTGCTGAGTGCTCCACACTGTGCTCAGAACTTAGGGCACAGAGAGAAATACAATGGAAGGCATCTGCCATTAGCAAGCTCACAGCTTGGGGCAGCAAGACTATCTTACATGAATAAGCAATGGGATGCAAGGGAGAACATGGTAAATGGTGCTGTCGAGACAGCAAGTGCTGTAGGGGCAAGCTGTGGAGGTCAGGAAAATCTTGGCTCGATTTGGAATCAGGAGACCTGAACTTGAATCCTAGCTCTTACACTTAGTCACTATATGATCCTGGGCAAGCCTCATCCTCTCCCTTGGCCTCAGATTCCCCTTCTGTGAAGTAAAGGATTGCTAAGGTTTAAGGTGGCAGCTAGGTGGAGCAGTGGCAGGCCTAGGGTGGCAGGCCTGGGGTCAGGAAGACCTGAGTTCAAATCCATCATTGAACGCTTAGTAGCTAAGTCACTTAACTCTGTTTGCCTCAGTTTCCTGATCTGTAAAATGAACTGGAGAAGGAAATAGTAAACCACTCTAGTACATGTGTCAAGAAAATCTCAAATGGGGCCACGAAGAATAGGACACAACTGAAGTAACTAAACAACAACAACAATAACAACAAAAGTCCAGTTCTAAATTCAATGATCTTAAAAATTTGTGCAGGTGGGGAGAGTATTCCAGGCAAGTGGAAACAACATGAACAAAGAGAGTAAGTAAGCACAAGGTTTTGTGTTGTTGTTGTTGTTGTTGTTGTTGTTTTTAGGCAATTGGGGTTAAGTGACTTGTCCAGAGTCACACAGCTAGTAAGTGTTATGTGTCTGAGGTCGAATCTGAACTCAGGTCCTCCTGACTCCAGGGCTGGTGCTCTATCCACCGCGCCACCTAGCTGCCCCACAAGTTTTGTTTAGGGGACAGTGATCAGACCATGCCAGCTGTGAAAAGGAATGTCAGGAGACAAAGTTGGTTCAGTAGGTGGAGGACCAGATTATAGTAGTGGGACCAAAGGGACAGACCCCAACAACTTGCATAGACACAAATACTATGAATAAATAATGAGTCTTGTTATGAAATGAAAGCTATTCTGGATAGTTTCATCTATTCTGTTGAGAGTTTCAGTACTCATGAGCAAATTGCTTTCTTCCTTGTTAGTGTTTTTATATTCTCTAGTTGTTTCTTCTGTGTTTCTCTTGTATCCCCATCCAAAGCTCACACTCTGGGGGCAGGGACCTGGACTTTCACTCTTACTCCTTTTAGGTACTATGTATTTTGGTAGCTAACGAAATCAAGTGTAGGGAACGATATAAGAAGACTCGGAAAAGGAACTACTCTTTCTTTCATCTGAGTAAGCTTTATCTCTCCTCTAATTTCTTGTGGGCAGGGACCATGAGTACAGGACTTTAGGCTAGAAAACCCGGGTTTAAGTAAGGAATAGAGCTGGACAGGATTTAGAACAGGATGGAGCCTTAGAGATCACCTAGTTCATATCCTTCATTTTCCTCATGAGGAAACTGAGTCATGGAGACTGATTTGCCCAAGGTCACTCAGCTAGTTAGTAGCAGAGCTGGATTCAGACAAGGTCCCGTGACTCCACATCTAGAAATCTTTGCACTCCAGCATGCTGTCCTAGCTCTGCCAGCTGTGTGACTCTGGGGCAATTTTCTTTGGCTCTCTAAGAGTCATCTGTAAAATGAGGGGGTTGGATACGATGATCTCTAGACTCTGGCATTCTGCAATCCTGTAATTTCTTTTACCATTCAAGTGTCTAGTGCAGTATCAGGTACCCAGAAATAAATACCTGTCGCATTTCTTTCTTGGCCCATAATCCTAGGAATGGAAGGATTTCTATATCCTTGCTGTCTCTTTCCAAGTTTTAGCTGGAGAAGTAGCATAGCAGATTGGAATCTGGAGTTAGAAGATCTAGATTTGAATACTGGCTCAGTTATACTTTACTCCTCTGAGACTCAGTTTCCTCATCTGCAACTATAACAAAATTTGTGCTATTCTCATCAGAGGACTTGTTGTGAGGAAGCTTTCAACTTCAAGGAACTGTTGGTGCCTTTGATCATGACCTCTATGACTTTGTGATTAGCCTTTAAGAGAGGCTGTTGCCAAACAATCCATTATCCTAAAGGTGGTCACATGATGAGTCTTCCTAGACTTAGTCTGGTCCTTGGATGACAGACCCACAGTCAACTCATTACTGGCCTATACTTGAAACCTTTCCAGGGGCAGCTAGGTGGCACAGAGGGTAGCTCAACAGCCCTGGATTCAGGAGGACCTGAGTTCAAATCCGGCCTCAGACACATAACATCACTAGCTGTGTGACTCTGGGCAAGTCACTTAACCCCAATTACCTCACCAAAAAAAAAAATGGGGGAAAAGGAAAAAAAAAAACAAAAAACCTTTCCAGCATGGCAGGACATGCTGGAGCTGGAGCTGTACCTGTATAACCTTGGAGGACCCAGGGTTACCTCCAGGAAGAATCAAAGGAAGACTTTCATCCTGAGCATTAGAGACCTTCACAGGCCTGAGATTTGAAATCAGGTTTGTAAGAATTCAATTCTCCTTAAAAGAAATGTTTTTGTAAACTACTTATTCCCTTTCAGATTTGGGGAAATAGCCCCAAGAGTGACCTGGAAAGGCATAACTAGACTTGCACTTGGTTTTCGTAGCCTTTCCTGGAGGGTTCTGTTTTAAGAGGCCACAACTTATTATCAATCATACTACAACACCCTTGACTCCACTCTGATGTGAAGTGCACTTCGTTCATCTCCCTCCCTGAATCTCTTCGAGGTACAATGAAGTACATGAAAGTCAGCTTGCTGCCACCCAAACTAATTAACTCGTGTGAGAGTGGTGTGAGAGTGGAAACTGGTTACTTAAATTTTTTGATTCACTCAGGCTTAGCCAGGAAACTTCTTTGCATTGAAATATCTCTAGACCTATATCTGATTGCACATTGTTTGGGGGAGGGAAGCAGGGAGGGAGGGGAAGAAAATTTAAAACTCAAAAGCTTATGGAAGTGAATGTTGAAAACTAAAAATAAATTAATGAATAAAAAATAATAATAAAGAAAATATCTCTAGAATTTATTAGATCTCTTTCTTGTCTACATAAGTAAATTCTATTTAACATGATTCTTTGTTTAGGATTGCAGCTTTTTTTTTTTCTGGGCTGCTGGGCTATTATTCTGATCAGCAATGATTTCTGTCAAGGTTATCACTAGAAATTTGATTTTTTTAAATGTTAATTCCTTAATATGATCTTATGTCATAATTATCAGTTAAAAGGACAGTACAGCAAAACAAAACAAAATGACCTGGAATCATCTCATCTCCCTCTAGAACCCAGCTCATTCACTCATTTCTTCATTCATTCATCAAACATTTATTTAAGGACTACTCTGAACAAGACATTGTTCATTGAGGGTTCTTTTATACTGAGATTCTATTGCATCTAATGCCCCAACTTTTGACTTCTGAAGTATAAGTGAAAATAGGAATTATGGTCTTTGGAAAGTGATCACTCTGAGAATCAAGTAAACTAACATTTCCATTGTAAAGGTAGTAGCACTTACAAGACTCCACCTTAAGTCGAATCCTTGGTTTTTAATTTTATGCTACCAGATTTGAAGAAAGGAAAGTCTTGTGTCCATTCCTCTTTCTCTCCAAGCTATTTAGTTCTTCAGTCTCAAGACAAAGCCCAGTTAGAAGCTTTCTGGGCATCTTCTTTGGGCTGGTATAGGAGTAAAGAGAAGAGGGGTGGGGGTGGGGAGAAACAGCCTAAGCAGGGCGATTTTTTGAGTTTTCCCCAAACTCACTAAGACATTTCAAGTCCCAGGTTGTGAATGTTGGCTGTAATGATCTCAGAAGCCCTTTGGGGCCCATTAAGGACCTGGCTGAGCTGGACAGTGCCTATCCAGACAGGGAATAAAATAAGACCTGTTTCTGGGATGAAAGAAGGGGTGACTGATCAGTGGCAAATATTTGAGTTCTACTTTGCCAAGGACTCCCTTCTTGGCCAAGAGTTGACTAATGGGGAAATAGTTGTTTTGGCCCCAAGTGGTTAATTTGAAAGAGAAGAGCAAGAAAACTTTGTGTTCTTTCAGTCTGCCCCAGTTTTTAAAATATTTTCAGCATTCTCAACATGCACGGAGACAGCTCTATCGAATGTTATCCTGAGCAAGGGATTTTGCCACAGGAGCTACAGATGCATTCCTTAGGGAAGTACATATTTTGCAGCTGATTAGTAGGAACTATTCTAAAAGTAAATTTGAATAAGTTGTAGAAGACATTTTCTGATATTAGAAAAGTCTCTGTGAAGCATGGGAAGACTTACAGGATTAAATGCAAAGTGAAGTAAGCAGAACCAGGAAAACAATATACACAATGGTTATAACAATGGAAATGGGTGGTGGTGGAGGAAATAAGAATAAAAAGTATCCCATGAAACTAAATGTTATGCAATTCTAAAAATCAAGCTTGATACCAAAGAAGAAAGTGCTTTTGGGGGGGGGTAGGGGGTAGGGGAATAATATACATTTCCTTTCTTCCTTGAACTTTTTTTTCTTGTAGAGTTGGGGGACTAAGGCTAGGTAACATTGAATAAACTGTCAGATTCCATTAATGGGTTGGTTAGTTTTGCTAAACTTCTAGCTCTCTCTTTCCTTTGCTCCCTCTCTTTCCTTCTCTCTCTTTCTCTGTCTCTCTCTCTCATTCTTTGTTAAAAAAAAATCATGCTCTGGGGAGGGGAGGGAAAATGATATATTTGGCAATAAAGTGATATAAAGACAAGAATATTAATATTTTTTAAATATCTGCATAAAGGAAACAAGAGCCTAAGAATGAATTTTCGTATTTTCTTTTAATTCTCATTCCATTAGGTTCAAACACAGAACCTACTTTTGGCTTCAAGAAAAATAAACTTGTTAGTCTTTTTATTGGAAATGTGTATGTGTGATTCTCTGCTTAAGGATCAAATATTTTAACTTTTTCAAGGGCCCCATCCCATCTCCGGAAATATTGTCATGATTGTAGGTCCCTTAGAAAATGCAGTTTCTTTTAGCCTGGTATTGTAGCTCGTTTGAAATGCTGGTGCTTAACACACTCGCCTACAGTTTGTGCTTGGACAAGAATGAAAAGGCATGAAACATGCTCTTACAGCGATTCCAGACACACATAGAACTGGGCATTGGGTTAGACAGAAATGAGGACAAGATAAAGTTGCAAAGGTGAGACTCACATAACCATCTTCTCTTCACAGTGCGGGTACTTTGGTTTCATTTCCAGCTTCTTGACATCACTGTATCTTATCTTTGGTCCTTTCCTTGAGCATTTGCATTTTGACCCTGAAGGAGATTGTCTGATAAGTACGGAGTTCCTTACCTGCAGGCTCTTATATAGAGCAGGCAGCTCCATCAAATCACGAAGTTCAAGTTTGCAAGGAAAAGGATGAACATAGATTAGTCCACCTCGCTCCTCCTCCCCCTTTTTCTTTCCCTTTCTTCCCCCAGACTCACAGTCCAGAGATTGTCTCTGGAGCTCGGGAGAAATTAAGGTACAAAACGTGGCCAAAGTCACCCTTCGGAAGCCAACATTTAAATAACCTGAAATTCACATTTTCATTAAGTTTCCATGTTTATTTAAACCCAAGAATGAAGGCAGAGTAAGCGGGGGAGTCCATTAGGGCACACCGAATGTCCGTCTTCCCCATCCCCCTCCCTCTCTCAAACCCGGTGTCTTCCAGTAGACACAAACTGTCACTCTCTGCAAAGCTGAGAGAGGGCCAGCCAGGATGTACGTGTGTATATGATGTGGTGTGATTTGTGTATGTGTGTAGCCCAAACTGGGGGGCTTTTGGCTCGCTCGCAGGACTTACCCTCCACCCCGACGCAGCACAACACAAGGAGCAGCAGGAGCAGCAGTCCTGTGAAGAGCTTCATGACCAGAGCTCAGGTGTCTTTAGAGAGCTGGGAAAATCTCGTTGCCCGCTTGGCTTCTCGGTAGCCGCTTTTTCCGGAGCGCTCGGGCAGTCGTCAGGTTTGGAGCGAGTTGCAGGTCCCTTGTGCTCCTGCGCCCTGGTCAGTTTCAGCTCCTGAGTATCTGCTCCGTGAGCTCTCGCTTGCTCTCAGTTCTCCAGATCTCGGATCTCCTCCTCTTTTAAAACAGTTCCCGCTGCCCTCACAACGAACTCATTAATATGCAAAACAACTCTGACTCACTGCAATTTCTCAACATAGTTGGGGAGGGGGGTGAAGAGGAGGGAGGAGACCTTCGCAGTCCCGTCTGATCACACACACTGTTTGGGTCCAGAACACAAACAGACCCCGAATCGTATCATTTCTCAATCACCTTCTTCCTTTTTTGGGGGAGGAGGGCGGCGCTGGGGGGAGAGGGAGATCACAGCCTGGGGATGGAGGCTTAACTTTGCCGTTCTTTGGACATGTGTCAAAGTGAGTGCTGAACTGGGGCTTCTTACGCTGTCCGTGCTGGAGGCTGTTTATACATAATCACTTCTTCACAAGACTCCGAAGTGGGTCTGTCTGTGAGGGTTCCAGGGGTCAATGTACTGAGCTGGGCTGCTTTCCACAATGGGAAGCTTGAAGGGGGGACAAATGTAGCCTGTCCTGGTGGTGTGAGCAATCCAAGCCTGACCCGGGGAAGAGGTGAGGTTTCACCTGTTGGGAAATGACTGGGACTTTAAAAATACTGAACTCCAGTTGACCCAGGCTATGAGTCAAGTGCTTAGTCAATCTAGGGGTGAATGAGGGAATGATCCCTCAAAATAGAGATTTGGCTACAGGCTGTAAAGAGTGGAAAGCTAGCGTGGTACAGCGGGAAGGAACAGTTATGGACCTGGTCTCAGGAGCTGCCTTCAAATCCTCTCTCTGCCTCTTTCTACCTGTGTGATATATTAAGCAAGTCACTTCATTTCTCTGTGTCTTAGTACCTCATCTATGAAAGGGAAAGTTTAGACTTAGTGACCCTTAAGGTCTCTTCCAGCAGTAAACAAGCTTGTGCTTGACTTTTTTTTTTTTTAAATCGACGATTGACTTTCTGGCCAATTTACTTTTCTGTAGAGAAAACTCCTTTAATTATCAGTGGGTTTTAAATTTGTTTTCTTGGATTTAGTAGTTCAGTTGCATGTTCCATGAATTTGAGGGTTCTGAGAACACCTCCTTTGCCTTTTTCCTCTCTCCCGGAGGAGTGGTGATCTTGGACTACTTTGTTGGAAGAAGGGACCCAGGAGCTGAATGCAATTTAGTCCTGTGGAGAGGGGGTGAGAGAGGAGAATTTGGGCCCCTGAAGGCTCAGAGACAGACAAGTGGAAGTCTAGAAGAATTGACCGTTATTGTTGCTCCCTCTAAACCTGAGGCACTACGCTCATCTCTCCCCAGGCGGTCTAAGCAGGAGCATGTAATAAAAGTATTAAGACTAGGTACTAGCTTAGGCAGAGGGTATTCAAGACTACTTGCTGACTAGATTCTTGAGGAAAAAGCTCATTGAGTTTGCTGCATGAAATTGTAGGATCATAGATTTAAATTTCAAAAAGGGACCTTGGAGGCCATCTGGTTCAATTCCATCATTTTACAATTTAGCTAAAGGAATTAACCGACTTGTACAGATAACATAAGTTAGTGAGTAGCAAAGCAGAGATTGAAACCAAAGTCCTTTGGTTCCAAATCTAGCACTGTATCCACTGAAATTGGAAGGGACATATAGAACATTAATGCTGCAAAGGACCTTTGAGCTTATTTAGGCCAATATCCCCATTTTACAGAGGAGGAAACTGACTCACAAAGAGGGGAAAGAGCTTGCCAAAAGTTGCACAGCAAATTAGGTTCAGAGCCAGGATTAGAAACAAGGCTTCAGCTCCCAGCCAGGTGTGCTGCTATTCCCTGCACCCCTGCTGGGGAGAGGCATCTCAAAAAGCAGGAGTGAGCTGGAGTATGGGTTTGGTTATTATGATGAGCCTGAGATGATTAACATTTTTTATCAGTGACTTGGATAAAGTCAAGTTTATGGAGGGTTCTATGAATCTGTTAGTGATAGCCACATATATTAGATGTCAGTGTCTGGATCGTATAAAATTTTAAAAAGCTAGAATGGTAGATTAAATCTAATAAAATACAATTTATCAATATTAAATGAAAGGTCTATATCAGGGAGCAAAATAAAAATATCTTTTTTTTTTTTTTAAAGACCAGGTGAGAAGGCAGCTAAGTGGTGAAGTGGATGGAGCTCTGGCCTTGGAGTCAGGAGGACCTGAGTTCAAATCTGGCCTCAGACACTTGACAGTTACTAGCTGTGTGACCCTGGGTAAGTCACTTAACCGCTATTGACTCATCAAAAAGCAAAAAAAAAAAAAGACAAGGTGGGTGGGCATGACTACAAAGACTTATGGTCTTATGGTGCAAACTTGTTGAGTCATTATTACAATATAATTAGGAGATAGTAAGGTATAGTAGGAAGGAAACAAACATTTATTATGTTCCTATTATGTCCCCAGCACTATGCTAAGCACTTTACAAATATTCTTTTGAGGTAGGTGCTATCATTATCCCTATTTTACAGTTGAGGAAACTGAGTCAGGCAACTTAAATGAAACAGCTCAGTGTCTGAGGTCTTTCTGACTCCAGGTATAGGGCTCCACACACTTCACTACCTGGCTGCCTCTCAAAAGAATGGAAATAATTCCAAATATTCTTCCTGAACCTGATCTGGTGGGATGTAAGTTTTAATCCTACCTATGCTACTTATTAGTAGTGTGGTCTTAGGCAAGTCAGTTACCCTCTCTGGACCTCAGTTTCCTCATTTGTAAAGTGATGGGGTTGGACTAAATGACCACACTAGCTCTTAGTCTAGGATCCTCTAGTAGCACTTTCTTTCCAATAACCCTGTGAAGTTGATAGTGCAGATATTTTTATCTTCATTTTACAGAAGAGGAAATAGAAGTTCTGGGAAGTTAAATGACTTACCCCTACTGGAACAACTACAAAGTGCTGAAGGATTTAAATCAAGCTTCCCTGATTCTGTGCCTCCTGTTCTATCTACTGTGCAGCACAGCCTCTCTCTAGGAATCAGAATCGTTAATGCCATCTAAGCTGCATTAAGTGGGGCATAGGTGATCAGCACATTGGAGGAAATAATTCTGCTAGAATTAGGAGGGATCAGGAAGGCTTCTTGTAAAAGGTGGGATTTTAGCTGGACTTGAAGGAAGTCAGGTAAGCCAGGAGATGGAGACAAGAGAGGGAGAGCATTTTATGTATGTATTTATTTTATGTATGACAGTAAAAATGCTCAGAGACAGAACATCTTCTCAGAGGAACAGTAAGGAAGATAGTGTCATTTTATATAATCAAAATTATTCATTTTATTTTATGCGATCCTCTGAATTGCTTGTTCAGTCATAAACTCTTTCCATATCTATATATCTGAAAGGTAATTCCTTCCTTGCTCCTATAATTTATTTACTATGTGGCCTTTTGTATCTAGGTCATGTATCATTTGATCATGGTATCTAGAGTGAGGTATTGGTTTATACCTGATTTTTTCCAGACTGCTTGCTTTTCAGTTTTTCTAGTTGTTTTTGTCAAATAGTGAGTTTTCCTTTGCATTAACTTAATCTCAGTCAATCTCTCTCTCTCTCTCTCTCTCTCTCCTTTCTCACTTCTCCCATCCTCCGCTTCCAACAATGCCACATTGTTTTAATGATTACATTTCGAGTACATTTTAGTACAGTTTGAGATCTGGTACTGATAGACCCTCTTCCTTCCCACCTTTTTACAGTATTACCCTTGAGATTCTCAACCTTTTGTTCTTCCATATGAATTTCATTATTATTTTTTCTAGATCTATGAAATATTCCATTGGTAATGTTATGGCACTGAATAAGTAAATTTATTTATGTGGCATTGTCATTTTATTTTTATTATCTTGGCTCTATCTACCCATGGGCGATGAATATTTCTCCAATTATTTGGGTCTGTTTTTATTTCTGCAGAGTGTTTTCTATTTGGATTTATATATTTCCTGAGTGTGTCATGGTAAGTGGAGTCTCAAATATTTTGTTGTTATTTTGAATGGATTTTTTCTATCCTTTCCTGCTGTGTTTTGTTAGTAATATAAAACAATGCTGATTATTTATTTTATGTCTTTGAAGTTCGATGAATTTATTGTTTCAATTATTTTTTAATTGACTCTCTAGGGTTTTCTAAGTATGTCATGTCATCAGCCAAAAGTAATAATATTGTTTATCTGTGCATCAGTTTCTTTTTCTTGTCTTATTGCCTCAGCTAACATTTCTAGCACTATATCAAATAGTAGTGTTGACAATGGGAAGGGAAGGGGGTAAGCATATCTGTTTATCTATCTATCTATCTGTCTCACCTACTATGTGCCAAGCATTGTACTAAGTGCTTTTTACAAATATCTCATTTGATCCATACAACAACCCTATGGGAGGTAGGTGCTATTATTACCCTCATTTTACAGTTGAGAAAGATGAAGCAAAGAGAGGTTAAAATGACTTACCTAAGGCCACACAATAAGTGTCTGAGACTGATTTTAACTCAAGTCTTCCTGATTTCAGGATCCATTGTGTCAGCTGCCTCTAAGGCAGGACAATGGGCAAGTGCTTTATTTCTGATTTTGTTAAAAGGACTCTATTTTATTCCCATTATGTATAGTTTTGGCTGTTGGTTTTAGTTGCATACTAATTTACCACATTTATTCCTGTCTTTAGTGTTTTTTTTTAAACAGAAATGGGTGTTGTATTTCATCAAAAGCTTTTTCTGCATCTATTGATGTAATAATAGGAACTCTGTTGTTTTTTTATTAATATGGATGCTGCATTCCTGATATAAAACCAGCAGGCTCATAGTGATATATCTTCGTGATATACATATATATATTTTGGCAATTGGGGTTAAGTGACTTGCCCAGGGTCACACAGCTAGTAAGTGTCAGGTGTTTGGTCTGAGGCCAGATTTGGACTTCGGTCCTCCTAACTTCAGGGCCGGTGCTCTATCCATTGTGCCACCTAGCTGCCCCATCTTCGTGATATATTACTGTAACCTTTTTGCTAATATTATATCTAATTTTTTACATCACTATTTATTAGAGATATTTGTGTTTAATTTCCTCTCTTTGTTTTGTATTTCCTATATTTAGATATGAAGACTATTTTTGTGTCATAGAAGGAATTTGGTAAGTTTCTTTCATTTGTTATTTTTGTGA